ACAACTACAACAACACCAACAACCACAACCACAACCACAACCACAACAACAACAACAACAACAACAACAACAACAACAACAACAACAATAACAACAACGAAAGCCCAGGATCGATCCTGGAACCGTCGATCCTCGATCCTCGAAGTTTCGAGGCCTGGAAGCGAGGAGAGGAGGACGCGGCGCGAGCGCAGATGCCTCCAGATGGCGGGAGGAGGAGGAGGAGGAGGAGGAGGAGGAGGGGAGGGGAGGAGGAGGAGGAGGAAGGAGGAGGAGGAGGAGGGGGAGGAGGAGGAGGAGGAGGAGGGGAGGGATTAGGATGAGGAGAGGAGGCGGAGGAGGCGGCGGAGGAGGACGCGGCACGTCCGCCCAGCGCGAGCGCAGAGTGCTCTGGACTGCGGGGGCGGGGCCTTGCCGCCGCGGCTGGGGTGCATCCGCGAGGGCGAGGCGATCGCGGCGCGGTCGTGATCGGTGTAGCAGTCCTGCCCGCGGGGCAGCTCTGGGCTCTGGGGCAGAAGCAGCGGCGTGGCTGCAGCAGGAGCTCCTCCTCCTCCTCCTCCTCCTCCTCCTCCTCCTCCTCCCCTCCTCCTCCTCCTCCTCCCTCCTCCTCCTCCTCCTCCTCCTCCTCCTCCTCCTCCTCCTCCTCCTCGACCACAAGATACCCTCCACAAGAAGCCCAACCCTGCGAGGCGGTCGCGGCGCGGTCGTGGTATACGGTGCAGCAGTCCTGCTCGCGGGGCGCGCTGGGCCCCGGGGGCAGAAGCAGCGGCGCGGCCGAGGGGCTCCCAGCTGGGGTCCGAGTAGACTGGAGTCCCATGCCAAGAAACACCCTGCTTGCCTCCAGGGTGCCCTGGGCTTCCTGGGTTTCGATGGTTCTGCTGTGGAAAGCGTGACGTCCCCACAGAAAAAAACAATGGACGTCCTGGGGGTCTCGGGATTGGGTTGATTGTGGAAGGTGTCTTGTGGTCGGGCCCCCACTGTAGAGGCTCCTAGATGGGGTCCGAGTAAATGGGGTCGGACGATCGCGCCGCATCGCCGATGCATCGGCGATGCTCCGCGAGGGCGAGGCGATCGCGGCGCGGTCGCGGTCGGTGTAGCAGTCCTGATCGCGGGACAGTTCTGGACCCAGGGGCAGAAGCGGGGACGTGGCTACAGTAGGAGCTCGACCACAGGAAACCTTCCACAAGAAGCCCAACCCTGCGCCCCCACAACGTCCATTGATGTTTTGATGTGGGAACGTCACGATTTCCGTCGTAGAAAAGCACCCTGGAGGCAAGCAGGGTGCTTCTTGGCTTGGGTCTCCACTGTAAGAGGCTCCAACATGGCTAAATGGGGTCCGAGCATATGGGGTCGGAAGATCGCGCCGTATCGGCGATGCGTCGCCGATGCGTCGCCGATGCATCGGCGCCGTCGGTGCAGCGATCATGATCGCGGACAAGTCTAGGCGATCGATATCTTGTCCATGCCGCTGCTCGCGCCCCGACCCAACGAGGAGCCAGGAGCGAGGACCTGCGGAGAAAAAGCCCTGGCCTCCGATGCACTCTTGTGTGTGTGTTGCCCTGCTGCCCCTGGCACCCGGCAGGGGCCTGGATCGAACGGCGCAGGGAACAACGTGGCAGAATAAATGGAATGACGAAAATCTGCGTTGATGGGCCCATTTTCCACCACCACTACCACAGGTAGCGGAGGAGGAGGAGGAGGAGGAGGAGGAGGAGGAGGAGGGTCTCCTCATCCTCCCTTTTCCCCCGTCATACACGTGGCAGTGGTGGTGGAAGATTTGCCCATCACGTGTGGCGCCCGCCCCAGGGCCACTCGTACCTTCTGCCTCCGCCGACCTCGCGCCGCCACGGCCCCCGAGATCCGACGCAGCGACAAAAACTGCAACATCGTAAAACACAAACACAAAACTAGAAAAAGCATAAAATCCAACAAAAACAAAAACACAAAACTAAACATAAAATCAAACAAGAACAAAACCATAAAATCGAACAAAACAACGCCCAGAGCCTTAGACACAACCTTTTCTGCGTCGTGTTTCAGACCGGATCGGTCTGTGAGGGCCCAGAGGGGACCGAAAAACAAAAAGAAGTGCGAGGACGCCCTGCTCGAAAACACGGAGTCGCCAGGATCTCGGAGGGCCGTGGCGACGCGAGCTTGGCGGAGGCGCAGAGGACGAGCGGCCCCGGGGCAGGCTGTGCTTCCGGAGGTCCGCGCGGATTCGTGGCATCGGCGCCCGGGCGCTGGGCGCCCCCCACACCCCCATGGCGCGCGGAGCGCCCTGGGCCCCAGCGCAGATGCAGGAAATCCGCGCGGAGCTCCGACGGTATATGGTTATGCCACGTGTTTTGCTTCGGCCCTCCTCCTCCTCCTCCTCCTCCTCCTCCTCCTCCTCCTCCTCTCCTCCGCCCGCCTCCTCCTCCTCCTCGCTTTCCTCCTCCTCCTCCTCCCTCCTCCTCCCTCCTCCTCCTCCTCCTCCTCCTCCTCCTCCTCCTCCTCTCCTCCTCCTCCTCCTCCTCCTCCCCTCCTCCTCCTCCTCCTCCTCCTCCTCCTCCTCCTCCTCCCTTTCCTCCCTTTCCTCCTCCTCCTCCTCCTCTCCTCCTCCTCCTCCTCCTCCTCCTCCTCCTCCTCCTCCTCCTCCTCCTCCTCCTCCTCCTCCTCCTCCTCCTTCCTCCTCCTCCTCCCTCCCTCCTCCTCCTCCTGCCGCCTCCTCCTCCTCCTCCTCCTCCTCCTCCTCCTCCTCCTCCTCCTCCTCCTCCTCCTCCTCCTCCTCCTCCTCCTCCTCCTCCTCCTCCTCCTCGTTGGCAGTGCCACCGCGTCGACCTGCTCGGAGACCTTCTGGAGCCCTCACCAGAAGAAGTTGACTGGCAATCTCTGGATAGTTACCTGGACAAGGCGAATGCGTCCATCGACACCCCAAGTCTTGGACTCCAGAAGCGGAGGAGCCTTCTAGACGACGCGCACAATAAGTTCGTAAACCTTTCTGAAAAGACTGTCAGCAAAGCTACTGACACTGCCCTTCGTGCTAGATCTCACCGAGCAGATCCCCAGACGAGAATCCCAACAGTCCGTTTGGGCGTGAGTGGTTTAGAGCGTTTTCTCATCCAACCCCCTTCATCCCCTTCGGGGAAGGGTTTACCCCTCCCCCCCTCTCCCCCTCGACCTGGAGGGGGGGGTCGCGAAGCTTTGGAGCATCCAAGACGGCCCAAGATGGCTTCAGGAGGGCTTCCGAGAGCACAAGATGACCTCCAAGATGGCCCAAGCTGGTACAAGATCGCTCAAGATGGCTTCCCACATGCTCACGTGTGTGAAACATTGTGACACATTGCATGGGGGGGAAGAAAGAGGAGGCCGAGGACGGCGGCAGTACCGCTGCTGAAGGTATGTGTCATGGAAGTCTTCCCCGCTGGCGTGACGGGCTTCGCGACTTCTAACTCTTCTCGGCTCGCGCTGGAGCTTCCACGATTTGCCCCAGATCTCCCTGAAGATCGTTGGAGTTGCCTCGATCTACCTGGGCGCGCCTCGCTCTATCTCGGCGCACCTTGATTTCTCTGGCTTGATCCCCGCAAGATGCTAGGAGAGAAGCCGCCAAGCCCCGAGGGATACTCCGATGGGGAGAGGGAGGAGGGAGCCTGCGGAAGAAAGAAGTCAGGAGGGAGGAGGCGGAAGGCAGGAGGCCGAAGGGAGGCGAGGAGGGAGCGGGGAGGGGCGAGGGGGAGCGGCCGGGAAGGGAGGGAAGGCACGGCCGGCATCCTTGAAGGTCACTCCCCGGATCCTGCAGAGGCTGGCGATTCGGTGCAGCAGCTTGTCCAGCTTCTCCTCCTCCTGGGAAGCATTGCAAACGAGGGCACTGGGCACGGGAGGAGGCAAGCAGGTGGAGAAGAGCGGTGGAGACAGAGACCCACCCTGAGATCCTGGCGTCGCAGTCTTTTCGCACGGAACGATCTCCCCGCATTTCGGGCCCCGGGACCCTCACCGATCGATCCGTCTCGAAAACTACCGCAGGAAAATGTGGTCCTGGGCTCTGGTCGAGTTGTTCTGCGATGCTGCACTCGTGTACGCGACGTCGGATCTCGGGGCACCGTGTCAGCGGGAATGGACAAATGAGTGGATGACGGGGCTCCAGGACACACAAATAAATACACACAAATAGAAATATTCTCCATATTTTCCTATATGTTCTGGGTGTCTGTCTTCCCCCCACTTCCCATATTTTCCCATATTTTCTGGGGAATCGAGGATTAATTGTGTCTGTGTGTTTGTTCATCTCCTGAGTGGAGGGGGCGAACAAAGGAAGTCGCGGCATCGGATATCAGTACATTGGGAAGAAACCCCTGAGAAGGCTTCTCAAGAACTATGGAGAGCGAGAACGCCCGATTAAGGGGCCAGTAAGCTGGATTAGACTAAATTGGGCCCATGATTAGACACAGGGCCAGGCCCGAGCAAGCCAGATTAGGCAACATCAATCAAGATTCGGCGAATTTCCGGTCACTGATATACAAGCGCTGAAGCTTAACTTAACCTCCCAGGAGTTGAATCCTAAGGACCCATTGTGTCAGCGGGAGGGGAAATTCAACTGGAGGAGGACAAACAAGCGAAGTCACAGTATCGGACAGCCGTGCACACCCAAATGGATTATCTGGGAAATAAGAATATCCGTTTACCGTCCCATTAGAGTATCAGAAGGCCGAATTCCGCACCTAGGCAAATCAGGTACATGAGCAATCCTCTAGCAAGGCTTGCGCTCAAGGGCATCAGGTGTGCTCCAACACGTGATGCCAGAGCGTGAACACCAACAGATGATTCGCACAACCTATGTGCGATGTCACGCTTGCAGAAATGCTGCACCAGGGGGGAGTCGGAGTAGAAGTGGGCATCAAGTCAGCCAGAACGGATGAGCGGGCCCCGCCTCCGCCTCCTCCCCTCCTCCTCCTCCTCCTCCTCCTCCGCCTCCTCCTGGCACGACGCTGTGCCTCTTCCGCCTCCTCCTCCTCCTCCTCCTCCTCCTCCTCCTCCTCCTCCTCCTCCTCCCTTTCCTCCTCCTCCTCCTCCCCCTCCTCCTCCCCCTCCCGCAGCACACGAACCGCCACGCTGGCGTGAGAGGCTGCCGGGACCGACGCGCGCTCCCGCCCGGCGAACGGGAGGCGCTCGCGCGCCGTCCCGCCTCCGCAGCTCAGCACCAGGGGGGCAGCAGCACGGGCTTCGCACAGGCGAGAGCGGGCTCCGCAGAAAACCACTGCGCGGCGCGGTGGCGAGGGCACAGTTCAGCCCTCTCGAGCGCGGGTCAGCTCTCCGACGATGGCGGCAGGGAGTGCACCACGCCGGAGCAGCAGCGCCGCTTTCACACGGAATCTGCGCGGCGCCTGGGCGCCCACAACCTTTCGCCCCCTCACGCGCGACCCGCCTGCGTTTACCGACGACTCTGCGAGCGAGAAACTGCGCCGCCACGCGCCCAAATGGGAGCGCAACTCTCGCACGAAATCTGCACGGAGCCTCTGGGCGAAGGCGACAGTTCGCCCACTGGCGCGCAGCCAGCGCAGACAAGCTTCCAACGGCTGGGCCGCCGCCGCCGCTGAGCCGAGCATCGGGAGGGACGCGTGGAGACAAGGGTATACGATCGGCCACTCTTCGTGGCCGCTTGCTCGCCCAGCTCCCAACGACTGGGCGAGCAACAAGAACGCGCCGCGGCAGGGCGGGAGCGCCACTTTCGGGCAACAGCTGCGCGGCTCTGGGCGAGAGCTGCGTGTCGCCTGGTGGCGCGCGACCCCATTGTCGACGACCTGCCGAGCCAAACAGGTGCGTCGCGAGGGGGGCTATCGGCGTGCTAAGTCGCACAGTGGGAATAACGCGTATGCTCTACATACGTCCACATATGTACTCATGTGCGCGCTTATGACAAGATGGCCCCGAGACAGCCCAAGAACCCCTTAAGAGGACCCCAAGATGGGCCAAGAGGCCCCACAAGACGGTCCAAAAGGCCCCCAAGATGGCCCCAGAGACCTCCAACATGGCCCGAAGGCACCCCAAGAAGGCCCCAAGACAGTGCAGTGAGGGCCCCAAGACGGCCCAAGAGGCCCCCAAGATGGCCCCTGAGACCTCCAACAAGGCCCGAAGGCGCCCCAAGAGGACCCCAAGACAGCATAGTGAGGGCCCTGAGACAGCTCTGAAGGCCAAGAGGCCTGTTCGAATCTTCCCCAAGAGGGCCAGGAAGGCCCCCTCCTCATCCTCCTCCTCCTCCTTCTCCTCCTCCTCCTCCTCCTCCTCCTCCTCCTTCTCCTCCTCCTCATCATCATCCTCCTCCTCCGCCTTCTCCTCCTCCTCCTCTCCTCCTCGTCCTCCTCCTCCTCTTCCTGCTCTTCCTCCCCCTCCTCCTCCTCCTCATCATCATCATCATCATCATCCCCATCCTCCGCCTCATCATCCTCCTCCTCCTCCTGCTCCTCCTCCTCCTCTCTCCTCCTCCCTCCTCCTCCTCCTCTTCGTCCTCCTACTCCTGCTCCGCCTTCTTCTCCAACTCTTCCTCCTCCTCCTGCTCCTCCTCCTCCTCCTCCTCCTCCGCCTCCTCCTCCTCCACTCCTTGTCCTTATGAAGAACTCCTCCCTGTCGCACCCGGATGACGGTCGAGAGGGCGGGCCGGGCGTTTCGCCTGAGCATGTCTTAACATTTACGAGCCTGAAGCTTAGAAACTGGCAACAGTTTCACATTTGAAGGCGGGTTGTCTTCAAAATGTGGCTCTCGCCTTAGCGCCGCGCACATTCGTTCTCAATATTTGCAAGTTTTTCACGAATTGAGAGCGGGTCGTTTTCAAAATGTGGCTCTCGCTTCAGCGCCGCGCACATTCGTTATCAATATTGGCAAGTGTTTCACGGATTGAGGGCGGGTCGTTTTCAAAATGTGGTTCTTGCCTTAGTTCGCGCACATTCGTCTTCAAAATTTGCAAGAGCTTCACAGATTGAGGGCGGGTCGTTTTCAAAATGTAGATCTCGCCTTCGCGCCGCGCACACTCGTGCTCAAAACCTGCTAGGGCTTCACGGATTGAGGACGGTTCCGTTTCAAAACGTGGCTGTCGCATTCGCGCCGCGCACATTCGCTTTAAACAAGTGTTAAAGGTTTGCGGATTAAGATGGTGAGCCTTCCAGAAATAGTGTTATCAGACGATTTAGGATTGTCAGGGTTCAACTGTTTCGATGATTCGAGGTGTTCAAATCCCAGGAACGGTGTTCTGGCACGACGCGGGACCGTCAAGATGCAACAGTCAGGTTGACTCGTGACGATGAAATCCTGCGCACGATGCTTTGGCACGCTTCAGGATTTTCGCATGGTTGTTCCCAACCGGGCATTCCCTCAATGGAATTAAATCCGTGTATAAGGCCGCCTATGAAGAGTGAGCTTGGAGGGAGGGTATATCCAAAAATAGTTGATGAGTCTTGGATTTACGCTGGTGCTCCTCCTCCTCCTCCTGCTCCTCATCCCTTCTTTTTGTTATCTCTCCTCCCTCCCATCATCCTGTCATCATCCTCATCATCATCATCATTATTATCACCACAACCGCGACCATCAGCATCATCAGCAGCAGCATCAGCAGCATCAGCACCAGCATCAGCAGCAGCAGCATCATCAGCAGCATCATCAGCATCACCACCATCAGCAGCAGCAGCATCATCGTCATCATCATCTTCATCACCACCATCAGCATCAGCATCAGCATCAGCATCAGCATAATCAGCAGCAGCCGCATCACCATCGTCATCGTCATCATCAGCAGCAGCAGCCTCCACAGCAGAAGCATCAGCAGCATCATCAGCAGCAGCATCCGCATCAACATCATCATCATCATCAGCAGCATCACCATTACCATCATGATCCTCAGCATCATCGTCAGCATCGTCATCATCAACACCAGTATCATCATCATAATCATCATCAGCATCATCATCAACACCATTATCATCAGCACCAAGATGGCCCCGAGACGGCCCAAGAGCCCCCTTAAGAGGTCCCCAAGATGGGCCAAGAGGCACCACAAGACGGTCCAAAAGGCCCCCAAGATGGCCCCAGAGACCTCCAACATGGACCGAGGGCACCCCGAGAGGGCCCCAAGACAGTGCAGTGAGGGCCCCAAGACGGCCCGAGAGGCCCCCAAGATGGCCCCTGAGACCTCCAGCAAGGCCCGAAGGCGCCCCAAGAGGACCCCTAAGACAGCATAGTGAGGGCCTTGAGACGGCTCTGAAGGCCAAGAGGCCTGTTCGAATCTTCCCCAAGAGGGACCAAGAAGGCCCCCTCCTCATCCTCCTCCTCCTCCTCCTTCTCCTCCTCCTCATCATCATCCTCCTCCGCCTTCTCCTCCTCCTCCTCTCCTCCTCATCCTCCTCCTCCTCCTTTTCCTGCTCTTCCTCCCCCTCCTCCTCCTCCTCATCATCCCATCCTCCGCCTCATCATCCTCCTCCTCCTCCTCCTGCTCCTCCTCATCCCTCCTCATCCCTCCTAATCCTCCTCCTCTTCCTCCTCCTACTCCTGCTCCGCCTTCTTCTCCTCCTCCTCCTCCTCCTCCTCCTCCTCCTCCTCCTCCTCCTCCTCCTCCTCCTCCCCCTCCGCCTCCTCCTCCTCCTCCGCCTCCTCCTCCTCCACTCCTTGTCCTTATGAAGAACTCCTCCCTGTCGCACCCGGATGACGGTCGAGAGGGCGGGCCGGGCGTTTCGCCTGAGCATGTCTTAACATTTACGAGCCTGAAGCTTAGAAACTGGCAACAGTTTCACAGATGGAAGGCGGGTTGTGTTCAAAATGTGGCTCTCGCCTTAGCGCCGCGCACATTCGTTCTCAATATTTGCAAGTTTTTCACGAATTGAGATCGGGTCGTTTTCAAAATGTGGCTCTCGCTTCAGCGCCGCGCACATTCGTTATCAATATTTGCAAGTGTTTCACGGATTGAGGGCGCGTCGTTTTCAAAATGTGGCTCTTGCCTTAGTTCGCGCACATTCGTCTTCAAAATTTGCAAGAGCTTGACAGATTGAGGGCGGGTCGCTTTCAAAATGTAGATCTCGCCTTCGCGCCGCGCACACTCGTGCTCAAAACCTGCTAGGGCTTCACGGATTGAGGACGGTTCCGTTTCAAAACGTGGCTGTCGCCTTCGCGCCGCGCACAGTCGTTTTAAACAAGTGTTAAAGGTTTGCGGATTCAGATGGTGAGTCTTCCAGAAATAGTGTTATCAGACGATGTAGGATTGTCGGGGTCAACAGTTTCGTTGATTCGAGGTGTTCAAATCCCAGGAACGGTGTTCTGGCACGACGCGGGACCGTCAAGACGCAACAGTCAGGTTGACTCGTGACGATGAAATCCTGCGCACGATGCTTTGGCACGCTTCAGGATTTTCGCATGGTTGTTCCCAACCGGGCATTCCCTCAATGGAATTAAATCCGTGTATAAGGCCGCCTATGAAGAGTGAGCTTGGAGGGAGGGTATATCCAAAAATAGTTGATGAGTCTTGGATTTACGCTGGTGCTCCTCCTCCTCCTGCTCCTCATCCCTTCTTTTTGTTATCTCTCCTCCCTCCCATCATCCTGTCATCATCCTCATCATCATCATCATCATTATTATCACCACAACCGCCACCATCAGCATCATCAGCAGCAGCATCAGCAGCATCAGCACCAGCATCAGCAGCAGCAGCATCATCAGCAGCATCATCAGCATCACCACCATCAGCAGCAGCAGCATCATCGTCATCATCATCTTCATCACCACCATCAGCATCAGCATCAGCATCAGCATCAGCATAATCAGCAGCAGCCGCATCACCATCGTCATCGTCATCATCAGCAGCAGCAGCCTCCACAGCAGAAGCATCAGCAGCATCATCAGCAGCAGCATCCCCATCAACATCATCATCATCATCAGCAGCATCACCATTACCATCATGATCCTCAGCATCATCGTCAGCATCGTCATCATCAACACCAGTATCATCATCATAATCATCATCAGCATCATCATCAACACCATTATCATCAGCACCAAGATGGCCCCGAGGCGGCCCAAGAGCCCCCTTAAGAGGTCCCCAAGATGGGCCAAGAGGCACCACAAGACGGTCCAAAAGGCCCCCAAGATGGCCCCAGAGACCTCCAACATGGACCGAAGGCACCCCGAGAGGGCCCCAAGACAGTGCAGTGAGGGCCCCAAGACGGCCCGAGAGGCCCCCAAGATGGCCCCTGAGACCTCCAGCAAGGCCCGAAGGCGCCCCAAGAGGACCCCTAAGACAGCATAGTGAGGGCCCTGAGACGGCTCTGAAGGCCAAGAGGCCTGTTCGAATCTTCCCCAAGAGGGACCAGGAAGGCCCCCTCCTCATCCTCCTCCTCCTCCTCCTCCTTCTCCTCCTCCTCATCATCATCCTCCTCCGCCTTCTCCTCCTCCTCCTCTCCTCCTCATCCTCCTCCTTTTCCTGCTCTTCCTCCCCCTCCTCCTGCTCATCATCATCCCATCCTCCGCCTCATCATCCTCCTCCTCCTCCTCCTGCTCCTCCTCATCCCTCCTCATCCCTCCTCATCCTCCTCCTCTTCCTCCTCCTACTCCTGCTCCGCCTTCTTCTCCTCCTCCTCCTCCTCCTCCTCCTCCTCCTCCTCCTCCTCCTCCTCCTCCCACTCCGCCTCCTCCTCCTCCTCCGCCTCCTCCTCCTCCACTCCTTGTCCTTATGAAGAACTCCTCCCTGTCGCACCCGGATGACGGTCGAGAGGGCGGGCCGGGCGTTTCGCCTGAGCATGTCTTAACATTTACGAGCCTGAAGCTTAGAAACTGGCAACAGTTTCACAGATGGAAGGCGGGTTGTGTTTAAAATGTGGCTCTCGCCTTAGCGCCGCGCACATTCGTTTTCAATATTTGCAAGTTTTTCACGAATTGAGAGCGGGTCGTTTTCAAAATGTGGCTCTCGCTTCAGCGCCGCGCACATTCGTTATCAATATTTGCAAGTGTTTCACGGATTGAGGGCGCGTCGTTTTCAAAATGTGGCTCTTGCCTTAGTTCGCGCACATTCGTCTTCAAAACAATTTGCAAGAGCTTCACAGATTGAGGGCGGGTCGTTTTCAAAATGTAGATCTCGCCTTCGCGCCGCGCACACTCGTGCTCAAAACCTGCTAGGGCTTCACGGATTGAGGACGGTTCCGTTTCAAAACGTGGCTGTCGCCTTCGCGCCGCGCACAGTCGTTTTAAACAAGTGTAAAAGGTTTGCGGATTCAGATGGTGAGTCTTCCAGAAATAGTGTTATCAGACGATGTAGGATTGTCAGGGGTCAACAGTTTCGTTGATTCGAGGTGTTCAAATCCCAGGAACGGTGTTCTGGCACGACGCGGGACCGTCAAGACGCAACAGTCAGGTTGACTCGTGACGATGAAATCCTGCGCACGATGCTTTGGCACGCTTCAGGATTTTCGCACGGTTGCTTCCCAACCGGGCATTCCCTCAATGGAATTAAATCCGTGTATCAGGCCACCTATGAAGAGTGAGCTTGGAGGGAGGGTATATCCAAAAATAGTTGATGAGTCTTGGATTTACGCTGGTGCTCCTCCTCCTCCTCCTCCTGCTCCTCCTCCCTTCTTTTTGTTATCTCTCCTCCCTCCCATCATCCTGTCATCATCCTGTCATCATCCTGTCATCATCCCCATCATCACCATCATCATCATCATCATCATCATCATCATCATCACCACAGCCGCCACCATCAGCATCATCAGCAGCATCAGCAGCAACATCAGCACCAGCATCAGCAGCAGCAGCATCATCATCAGCAGCAGCAGCATCATCGTCATCATCATCAGCAGCAGCATCATCTTCGTCATAATCATCTTCATCACCACCATCAGCATCAGCATCAGCATCAGCATCAGCATCAGCATCAGCATAATCAGCAGCAGCCGCATCACCATCGTCATCGTCATCATCAGCAGCAGCAGCCTCCACAGAAGAAGCATCAGCAGCATCATCAGCAGCAGCATCCGCATCAACATCATCATCATCATCATCATCATCATCATCATCATCATCATCATCATCAGCAGCAGCAGCAGCATCACCATTATCATCATGATCCTCAGCATCATCGTCATCTTCATCCTCATCAACACCAGTATCATCATCATCATCATCATCATCATCATCATCATCATCATCATCATCATCATCATCATCAACACCATCATCATAATCATCATCAGCATCATCGTCAGCATCGTCATCGTCATTGTCATCGTCATTAGCATCATCATCGTCATCAACAGCAGCAGCATGATCCTCACCCTCATCCTCATCCTCTTGATGCTCATCATCATCATCATCATCAGCAGCAGCAGCAGCAACAGCATCGTCCTCATCCTCATCATCGCCATCGTAATCATAATCATCATCAAAATCATCATATTTCATCATCAGCAGCATCATAATCAGAATCATCATCATCACCATCATCATCACCATCATCATCACCATCACCATCACCATAGCTATCCTCCTCCTCATCATCATCAGCATCATTATCATCATCCTTCCCATCCGTTTCCTCTCCTGCTCCTCTCTCTTCCTCCCCAGAATGTGTCCCAGAGGGTTCCACAACGGCTTGGGGAACACATACTCCGATACCTTGGCCAAGCTTGGGCCAAAGGCTTGGCCAAGTCGGCGTTCCCAGAAAGGCAGGAAGCGGCGGTGACTCGCCGCAGCCGCGCCGTCGACACATAACAAGTAGCAACCGTGTACACACACATCTCCATGAACATGCTGATATAGTCATGTAAACAAATATGTGGAACATACAAGTGGAACATACAAGTCGAGAGAGAGATAGAAAAAGAGAGGGAGAGAGAGAAAGAGAGACGGAGACGGAGACAGAGACAGAGACGGAGACAGAGGCAGGCAGGCAGGCAGGCAGGTAGAAGGCAGAGAGAGAGGGAGATAAACAAGAAACGAAAAACGTGTCTCCCCAGCTCCTCGTCCGTGCCCCTAATGTGGCCCATCAGGGTGGACTGCGACAGGGACTTCCCCGACATGGACTTCCCCATGCCCACAGGCGAGCCACGAATGGAGGCTGCACGCGCGCGGGCGGGGGGCGGGAAGAAGCCCAGGAATCGCAGCGGGAAGGCGGGAAGGCCAGCAGAATCGCAGAATCGGATCGAATCGGAAACGGATCTGATCGCCAACAGACCGCCCCGCATCGGATCGAGACCTACTCGCCGCGCCCAGCTCTGGCCGGCCCCAGGCCGATGCCGGGTGAGTCGAACGGAGTCGAACCGAACAGGAACCGCAGCCCCAGCAGGCGAATCGAGTCGCATCGAATCGGATCGAAGGGCGGCCCCGGAGGCCGGCCGGGCCTGGGGATCGGCGGTGGACAAACCTCCCTTTAGTGAACCTCCCCTTAGTGAAAAGCGCCCGGGACGGAACGACGGAAACGGACCCGCAAAAATGACGGCCGCGACGCCCCCTCGCGAACCGAAAACGGCCAATTCCTTCATCGACGCGTCAGGGTAGGAGGTCTGTCCAGCCCCGAGGGGAGGGGGAGCCCGGGCCCTGGATCCGACACCTCGCCCTGCGCCGACGGGGGGGCACGCCGTCCTCGTCCCCTCGCCCATCCCCATCCCCTCCCCGAAGCGCCCCTCTCTCTCTCTCGCACGGCGGGAGCATGCGATGAGAAATCTGCCGACCCCGTCGGCGCGCCCTGTGCTCGTCGCCGCTCCCCCCTCCTTGCCTGGGCCTCCTCCGCAAGCGCGCCAGCCAAAGCGAAATTGAACAACGTCGTAGTAGACTCGAAGGGAAGCCCCTTCCCGTTGATCCCCTCCCGCCGAGAGTGGGGGGTCCCGGGTCCAGTCCCAGGGGGGGGTCCGGGGGAGGGGGTCCCGGGTCAGACACGACTCTCGCCGGGGGCGTCCTGGAGCCGCAAAAAAGCCCAAGACGAGCCAAGAGTGTCCCAAGAGGCCCCCGAGACGGTCCAAGACTGCCCCAAGACGAGCCAAGAGTGCCCCCAGAGGCCCATCCTCCCCCTCCCCACATGAGGCTCGCCGGGGGGGGAGGCGGGAGCTGTCCAGCAGAGCACCTCGATGGCAGGCCGACAAGGAAAGCGACGGAGAAGGGGGCGGCACGGGGGGAGCGAGCACGCAGAGTAGAGCGAGGACGAAGGAGGGTTGCTCGAGGAGCGACGGGGGTTGGCGCGGAGAGCGACGGACGGAGGTCGACGAGGAGAGCGAGGAGAGACAGCGTACGGGAGGAGGCTCCCTCGGTCCTCCTCCTCCTCCTCCTCCTCCCCCCCCCCCCGAAGAGCACCAGGACGGCTCCAAGAGGGTGCCCGGGCGGAGGACCGAAACAGACATCTGGAGCCCTCGGCCCCAAGAAGCTCTCCGGAGGCCCCTAGAAAGGGTCATCCTGATCCTCCTCCTCCGACTCCTCCTCCTCCTCCTCCTCCTCCTCCTCCTCCTCCTGCTCCTGTTCCTCCTCCTCCTCCTCCTCCTCCTCCTCCTCCTCCTCCTCCTCCTCCTCCTCCTCATTCTCCTCCTCCTCCTCCTCCTCCTCGTCCTCCTCCTCCTCCTCCTCCTCCTTGTCCTCGTCGTCGTCGTTTTCAGAGTCGGCGGCACCGGCGGTAAGGGCTTCTCAGTCGTGATACCATTAACAATCTAGGGGCACGTCTGTCGTCGATATTCAGGCTTCCCAGGGTAAATCCCAGGGCTCCCGTAGGCCCCCAGTGGACAAGCGCATTCCACTACTCGCCAAGTAGCTACTCACAAATGGCCGGGATCCATTGCATCGAGGCAATCAAGCTCTATTGCATCTAACATCATATGGTTTTTGGACGTTTGCGAGTAGGCACTTTGCGAGTAGGGGAACGCGCTCGGTGACCCAGGGACATGGGGCATAAAAACGAGCTCTCGCGGGGCAACTGCTGGCAGGCTGGCTTCGTACTTGATGCGCCCACTATGCGGCACGCTCGTGCCGCCACGACCCCGGCGTTGCATTGCAAAAATCCTACAGCCTTGAACGATC